AGGTCGGCCTGACGGTGGCGGCCAAGCGGGACGTGTAGGGCCAGGGTCGCCACGGCGTAGTCCAGGGCCCGCCGCTGCCGCGCGCAGGCCGGGGGCCGCTGGGCAAGGAGGAGGGCCCCCGCGAGCTGCGAGGCTGTCGCGGTCGCGAGGCGGAAGCCCAGCGCGACGGCGATCCCCCCCTCCGCCTCCAACAGCCGTGCCGTGGTGAAGCTGCGCTGCGGCCCGGCTGTCAGCCGGCGCATCGAGATAGGGTAGACTTCCTCGTACTTCGACGCCAGGAGCAGGGCGGCGCAGCCGTAGAGGAAGAACTCCTGCTTCGCCACCACCCGCAGCGCGAGCAGGCGGTCCAGTAGGGCCACGGAAAGAAAGTACGTCTCCATTTTTATCGGATACTGCTGCTGATTGATCGCGAAGTCGAACATCCACTCACAGAGCACAGCTCGCATCCCATTCTTGATCTCCGGTTGAGTAATCCGGGTGGAGTAATGACGCGTCTCTCTTTCATCCAGCTCAATCAGGTAGTCCAGTGTCATCGTGTAAGCGTGCCCGCAGATGCTGGACATTGAACGCATGACCAAATTGGTCGCGCATGCAAGATCCTTGAGCCCTAAAAAGAGCTCGTACATAGTATTCGTGAAATGACATCGAAAGATCTCCTTCACTACCTTCTCCACTTCACTCTGGGTGTTGATCTCAAGCTGGGAGGTGAACTCGAGGACCTCCTCCAGCCGTATATCTTCCCTAAAGAGAGCCGCAAGGCGCACCCAGTCGGCAAAGTCCTGGAGAGGAAGCCCTATTCCCTGTTGGAGTGCCGATCGCTTAGAGCGCAGCACATTCATCACGCGAGTACACATCGGAATTTTATCATTCTGCCGCCAGTTCTCTAGCATAGGCTGAAGAAATTGCCTTGTTTCGTTATTCACATGAGCCATTAGATCCATAAACATGTTTCGCAGACTCTGTGGAGAATGGCGCGCGCTCTGCCGCCGGCAAGGCTTCTCAGCCAGAGAGGACGTGTCCTTTGGATTTGGCGCTTTCACCGGCACCTGCAGGGATAAAGGCTCGAGGATTAAGAGATTATGAAGCCGGAACTGAAGCTCGTAAAAAGAAAGTAAAGGTTCAGCGACCTCCTTTTCTTGTATTTCTTGAAGCTGCTTCCGTGAAACACGAAGTCCTTGAGGAATTAGTAACTGCTTAGTATTACTGGTATGGAGCTTATTAGGATTGAGCTCCTTAAATAACGTGGTAGCCTCCGAATCCATGTTTGAAAGTGTTTGGACTCGTTTTGAGTTCACCTTAACCAATTAATCAAATAAGATCTAGTCCGTATGAAAAATTTATTATTCGTTTTCACGAAAAAATAAAGCGTGTGTCTATGAAATAGCTGAACAACGATCGGATGATATGTGTCAAGGCTATTTTCTGGAAAAAATGTTGTCCAGGTTAAAAAGTGAAAGATTAGTTAATTTAAAAATTAATAATCTACATGAAGATATATGTGTGTGTGATTGTCTATGATACCGATTTACTTTTCTATGACACAGAAAACCAGCTTGAGAATATAAATGTCTATGTTTGTGTGTAGATGGATGTTTTCGGTGGACTGAAAATAGTTGCCTTTGAGGAAATAATTACTTAAGAAAATTTAGGAATTCAGAACATCTTTCAGTTCGAAGTTTATTAACAATGACAGTAATATGTGGTTGTCTTTTAAAATGAGGGAATGTTGTATGTTTCATTTTCTAATACCTGAAAGCACTTCAAATATTTCTCATAAACTCAAAAGGATAACATAAAGACGTCGCTCAAACCAAAAATCAATCGATATGTTTATATTGAATACCTCTAACTTCTACGATCGGTAAGTCAATTTATGATATGATGTCAGAATTACTTGGTAAAGAAAAGTTTTCCTTCTCTAAATTATCCGAAATAGGAGTGCGTTTAGGCCAATTCGAACACTCTATAAAAGGGAAGGTAAGAAGGGTGTTTGTTGTCATGCAAGCGATAAGGAATTGACATTGATAAGGTGATTAAAGAACTTATCATAATCCAGCTCCAACACCACCTTCACCTTAAAGTCACCGCTCTTCGGGCGAATCGAAAGGCCGCCGATAAACGTCGAGTTTCCGTAAAGAACTTGCACTGGAATCAAAATCCCACGTGCACCATCTTGCAGGTAAGCATCCGCATTGTAGGCGGCCGCGACCACTGACAGCGAAACCTCGGAGGCGTAATAATCTAAAAATTGATGATAGGCATAAAGAGCCTTTGCAAGGACCACAGCACTGCCACCGGAGGTCTCTTTTCTCTTATTGTTGATAATCGCGTCGTATACTGACGGCCTCCACGGCATGGCAGCATCCATTGGGATAAGCGTCACCGGGCGGCCGTGCGTGCCCTGCATGAGGTAATTTGCCGCCTGCGGATCAAAAAAAAAGTTCATCTCCACGCCTTTATTTCGCATTATCACATCATAGGTATCCCCGGTGTCCAGAAAGGTTCCTCCCGCCACCACAATATTTGAAACCCTCGCATGGTGTTCGTTGTGGTTTTGCAAAAACCACGCCGCATCCGTGCAGGGGCCTAGGACTAAAAAATTCGCCTCGTTTTCGCTGAGAAACGCACTCAGTGGCTGCTCAAAAAAAGAAGGCCTCATCGCCATATCCCCAATATCGACCTGGCGAAGATCAAAGGCAGCGCCGAACAACACTTCTGCATACAGCTCGAGTAAATTGGACAGCAAACGGCGAAAGCTACACACCGTCGTCTGTGATGACAGGGCAATAGAAGGGTCAAAATGTATGAAAAAATCAAAATCCACCTCAGCGAGGCTGTTGCCATAATAAAGCGGGATCCGCTTGCTATAGCCCTCGTTGTAGAGCAACTTCAAAAAAGCGGCAATGTTTTCGTACGCCGCGTTAAGATTACCAACCCAACCGTTGAGCGAGAGGACGATCATGGAAACCTCGATATCACGCCGCTGCGCGTAATAGCGAATCACCTCTAGGTTGGGCGGCATTGCTTCCATGAAAATAACTGTTTTAGTCATTTCTCTCGACATTTGCCGGGTTTCGCTGAAAAAGTAAATCACTGTCAGAAAAAAAAAGAGAAAAAAAGAGACGGCGGAAGCTATTCTTAGAATTTTGATTTTTTTTGGTTGAGAGAGACTAATCCAGCCGTTGTAGGCCGAGCATAGGAGCTCCATGCTCCTCGCCACACTATGCGACACACTACCCGTTATACTTGCTAAATAAATATATGAAATTAAATAAGGATAATATAGCTTTAAAAGTCCTTATATATTAAAATAAGTGAAGGAATGTATATGGATTCGTGTTTGTATGTACGTAAGTTTGTATAAACGAGAAAGGGATAGGGAAGAGAATTATCGAATCCAATTTGCAACTGCCAGTGATTTTTTTTAAAAAAATGTTACCTCAAAGAAAGAATATCGTTATCGATTGATATTTTAATATTTTTATATCCATATATATATATAGATATATGGATATACTCCGCAATAAGGGACACATTGCTATAGCAAAACAATCCAAAAAGAGAATAAGAACAAAATGATACGTATAAAAATAAACGTCGTGAAAAGAGTAGGAATGCCTACACACACTCAATGTAACGAAGCAAGGAAAATGAATTTTACTCCCAGAATCTTCTTTTCCACCTTCCTCTATATATCACCGAGGACTAAAGCTAGGCGAAACACCGCGATCAAAAAAGGAAGAAAATCTTCCTTCTCCCGCCTTCCCTCCTTTTATTTCCGCATTATCATTATTTTTATTGTCATTATGATTATTATTCATCGGTAGTTAAAGGAAGTGAGGATAAAAACCCTCGCATGTACTGGAGCATTGTTTGATTTGTCACGATGAGCGAGCGAAGTGGGCAGTTGTCGAAGGTGGCGTGATTCTTCTTTAATGCCTTCGCAATGATAGCGTGAAATCGCGTGTTGTAAATAAGAATATTCATGCAAATCTGCGCATTAATTTGCTGTGCGTTGTCAGAATCCGAGATCAGCTGGTAAACGTTTTTCATGATCCTGTCAAGGGCGCTTTGCCAAGAAATCATGAAAGTATCTGTAGCTTCTTTGATCTCCTCCACTGGGGAGCTTTCGCCGTTTTGGATAATATTAAAAAAAGCGGGCATGTGTTTGCGAACGATATTCTCCACGAACTCCGTACGATAGCGTAGATAGGTATCCTTGAGGTCGTGAAAGTTATCCCGTATATCCAGCGGAAGAGATTCGTCCCTTTGAATTCCCAATCCCATTTTGTCCTCCTGACCCTCTTCCATCGGATTCGTCTCAGTCAAGATTATGTGGTGCTGGTGGTACTGCTGGAGGATATAGTAGAGATTGTTTAACATAAAGCAGCTTAGCAAGGGCTCTAAATGTTCACGCACCGAGGCGTCCGTTTCCTCGTCCAAAATGCACTGACCGAGCTCCTGAACGAGCTGGATCACTCCAAGACGGATAAACTCCAGTTTGCTAACGAGCATCATAAACTCGGCGGTCCGATCCGCCGCCTCGCCCTCCTCCTCCTTGGCGATCTGCTGGAGGGCCAATTCGCGCAATTCGTCGAGGTGGTCCTGCCCCTCGCCCGAGCGGGGGGTGCCGCTGGCGATCCATTCGTCCCGCAGAAGCTCCCCTTCGGCGCGCTGCCGCTCCTCACTAAGCAGCAGCCCCAGCAAAAGCCCCATCAGGACGGCGGAGAAGGTTGTAAAGGACCGCACAACGGGGTGCACCACGCGCAGACGGCGCTCAGTGACAGGGGCCATCGCCCGCGCGAGCTCCCGCGGGGCCACCTCCCGTAGCGCGACGAACTGCGCGTGGAGGGTGGCGTTGTAGGCCGGCCGTAACAGCCCCAGGAGGGAGTCGAAAAGGCCGTCCAGACAGCAAAGCCGCCGGCCGTGCCGCATCATCGCGCGGAACTCGTGGCACTGGCGGATGAGCAGCAGCAGCCCATACGTGTCCTTCGCCACCCCTGCCTGACGGAGGGGAATGGACCGCGCAGCCAGGATCGGGCATACGGCCCCGCCGCCCTGCCCGAGAACAACCTCCGCGATGTAATCCACGATGAACTGAATCGTCGGGCGAAATACCTCCACAAAGACCACCACATCCCCACTGAAGAATTCACACGCGAAGAGGTATTCATGCGTGGTGATATCGCACATCACACTCAACAGGGAGCGAAAGGTCTCCTCGTAGGAATGCCGACGATGGTGCGCCTTTTCAATGACGGGAATTAAAGGGGAGCTGAAAAGACGACTAAAAATTTCACCCCGTCCGGAGAATTGCAAGAGCTCCGGCTCGAGCGCCGTTTGAGGATCGGTAATAAGGGGTAAGGCATAGAAGGAATCGTCCGTCGGCGATGGAACCGGCAACGTGGTATTGAACTCCATAGAATGGCATGTCAAGACGTAATCTTGAACTCGCTTTAAGTATAATTGAAACATAATTTTACAGTATTCCGCCTTAAACTCCTCGTAAAGAGTCTGAGCGAGATCATAGGGTTTGGCACTGCTTGCTGGGAGCGTTTTCGAGGGTTCGCCAGAAGGAACACTCTGAGGATGGGAAGAATTGCGGTTGAGAAGCGGAGCGGCGGATTGGAGAAAATACACATAAAATGAAAAAGGCATCAGAACGTTTTCCTGATGAATCCATACATTTGTGCCTTTTATGGTCAAGACGTTGAGCCGCTGCGATAGGAAAGATTTGATCTTCCAGCACGCGTAGAGCGTCAACGAGTCCATAAAGTCCATCAAATCGCTATACACTCGACACTCCTTAAAGGGAATGTGCAACTCGTCTTGCCCGTCTACGGATCCCTTATCGTCTGCTGAGAGACTAGGATCAACATTTTTGCTATTTTGATGACTACTGGGGGTGGTACCAATGAAGTCATTCGGGACGTCTACTCGATGCCTTAAGTATCTCAGGAGCTCCTTCACACAGTGTTTGAACTGCATTCCCAGTTCCTGCTCGTTGGATTGTGTAATAACCTGGACCACCTCCGGTGGGATCACCAGTCGCGTAATCGCCGAACGTAGAATTGACTCAGTGGAGAGAATGTTCTTAAGCGTTATGCTCTTCGCCATGATGGATTCCTGCACGGATACGATATCTGCCTGAATCGAATCTAACTGAGAGATGAAAGTCTGGAGGACTTTCTCGATATCTGTCAGGAGGGCGGTGTTTTCTTTAAAAAAGTTGTATAGAAAGAGAAGGTTGTCTTCTTCATCGCCAAAAAATGACACCAGAAAGGTCTCACACAAACTATTAATGTTTTGACGAAAATGATTTTTCTCGAAGGACAAGTTATGGATGTTATTATTTATGAACTCATCACTAAGTTCAATCGATTCCAGATCCTCTAGATTATCAAGCTGAGATGTAGAGTCGTCTGACATGGGATAGTCGTAACTACTAGTGTTTCCTTACTACTGGTTAGTGTTTTTTTTTAAGAAGCATAATCTAAAACAATAATAGATAGGAGAATAGTGTGTATAAGTCCTGATCGGTTATCATATGTAGTGAGGATAGTAGCCTAAGCAACTATATACAAATATGTAAATATATAAATATCGATATCAATATAGAGATTCATCAATAGCATGTATTAAACACGAAATCGATTGTGATAAACTTTTGCTAATATACAGTTTGAATAAAGGAGATGTGATAAATGATCAAAGAAAAGATTTGTGATGCATTTGAGGAGTGCATCCTCCATATTATCTCATTCTTAGAAGGAAAGAGTAAACCTCTCGTACCTTTTTATCGAGTTTGTTGCCCTCGGTTTTTTGTCTTTGTATCATGCAGTTTTTAGTACAATTCCATACTATTCAACCTTAGCTATTCGTCACCCATGCGGGTTTATAAAATACCCAGCGTTAGATGCCATACGCCATTCTGGGGATGGCTTAGGCGTTGTCCTACAGATACATGCATACTGAAGGAAGGGGATGAATACAACTTAAATCTTCTCGGCTGCGTACACTTGAAGAGAAGATAAAAAGGTGTATGAGTTTTGGTATTTAAAAGGTAAAACCCAAACCATATAGAAGACTGAACGAGGCAAGACAAAAAGGAAGTACTCACAGACACCAACGCATGTTTGTCCTTAGATCCTATTAAACAGCCGAAAAGAAAGCTAAAGAACTAATATACACGTAACTACCAAAATGTAGCTCACCAAATTTATGCTTGTTTACATCTCAACAGCAAGGGATACTGGAAACCAGCAATGACTATTTTTCCTTTTTGATATTATTATGCAAAGAAAAACGAATTCGTCCGGTAGGATTTTGGTCTTTCCTACACGGTCGCGTCCTCCTCGCCGGGCAAACACAACTCGAGAAAAGGAATCTCAATTCTCATCCAGGCTTCGTCCAACGTCGTGCGGTCCTCTTCGTTCTCTCCGTCGAGGTTCTTTGCCTGCTGCCAGTCCCACGAGGAGGCCTCGAATCGCCCGAGCGCTTTCAGGGCGAAGGCGCGGCGGATGAGCGCGTGGCGGTTGCGTGGCTGGGCCCGGACCACATCGTTGAAGTCTTCCAGGGCGCCGTGTGCGTCGCCGAGGAGCTGGCGGGCCT